ATCGCGGAAGGATCCCTCAGAGCGAAAATGGCGATCTCCTTGCCATCGACGACCAGCTTCTTGTCGGCGGACAGACCGACCTCGCCCTTGTACTTGCCGTGCACGGTGTCGTACTTGAAGAGGTAGACGATGTACTCGGGATCAAGGAAAGGGTCGTTCACAGCCACCACCTGCACGTTAGGGTGGTTGAGGGAAGCCCTCAGGACCAACCTTCCAATGCGGCCGAACCCATTGATGCCGATCTTGACCGCCATCTTCGCTTCGCTTCGCTGTGCGTGCTTGCTTGCTTGACCTCCTCACGACCAATCAACCTCGCGAGAGCTGTGCTTTCGGAAACACACAGATCTCGTATCTCCGGCGTCGTCGCTGACGAGATGCTTCGTTTGGGAATTAGGGCGGTCGAGCGAATCTTTATTCGTTTTCCGGGCACGCCCTCCGCGCTGGCCGAGACAACCCACCTGCAGGGTAACTCTGCCGTGTCGTTTTTCTTTTTCGCTTTCTGGTTTTGCCAATAAGAGACCAGCCGTAGCATTATTATTGGGTTCAAGTTATTGCGTCCTGGAGGAATTGAACGCACGTGCTGTTTATGAACAGTCCCATGTGTGCACCGTTCCGAATTCCGAAACTGGCCACGCCTATGGGCCTCGCCGCACCACTCTCGAAATGTGAAAAGGACAAAAATGTGGCAGGGGCATTTGGTCGTGTTCTAGAGGGAAGTTCATTCTCATTTTGCACGTTTCGACAGTGGTGTGGCGATGGCCTATAGGTCTCATCACCCGACTCATCCACCCCAGGTAAGGGCTTCGCCACACGACTCCCGAAATCATTCATCAAATTTCGGGGGTTCAGCTTCCCCACACCAGCTCGTCAGATCAGATCTAATTTGGGAGCTGTCAGGTTCCACAGCTCAAGAGAACTCCCGAATGCTTTCTTTTTCTTTTTCTTTTTTTTTGCCGAATCCTTTCGCCGCTACACCACTCCTGACTTGGGAAAAAAATTCGGTTCTGACGTGGAAATCCATTCGGGGGTGTGCTTAGCCACACTGCACTCTCGACGTGGGGCGCCTCCCATTTGAAGGCCAGGAGGAGCACGTCAGAGAGAGAGAGACTGTCCAGGGGCTAGGTCCCACTTGCATGAATTATGAGATATTGACCGTCGATAGCGAAGATCAACGACCGCAATCTCCTAACCCGTGCAAGTGGGACCTTGCCCCAGCATATGGAGACAAAAACTGTGAGGGCAATGCTTGTCTGCACACGTTCGAAACACAGGCCTCTGCGAGAGGTCTCCCGAAAATGACCTTTTACAGGCGGGAGTCCCAAGCAGTTTTTTTTTTTCTTTTCTTTTCTTATTACTATTTTTTTTTTTTATTATTAATATTATTATTATTATTATTTTTCACAACTGTCTATATTCTTCTCTCACCTTCTGTTCGTTTTACCTTCCACTACCTACTCCTAAGACTATCTAGAGGGGACCCCTGCAAGCATAGTTTTCCTCTCTCTGTGAAGGGGAGATTTCATGTTGCCCCTTGCCCCTAATGGTTAGGGTATAGGGTTGGGGCCGCCAGTGGGGTTCTGGCTAACACAAAGACCGAGACCTGCCAGTAGCTGTGCCTCCCCTTCTCATCGTCCCCCACCCTTCATCGAGTAGCAGCAGAGGCTATGGCCAACACTCTCCCACACACCACACACAACCCACTCGCGCTCACACTCACACCCGTGTTGGTCATAGACCCCGCTAATATTATTTTTATCCCAAGCTGTTTCCCTTTTTTTTTTTTTTAGAAAGGGCTGCGCTGCACTCTGCTGCAGTGCAATACAGAGGCAACACTGGAGGGGTCAAGTAAGCAAGCTTACCCGTATGACCCCTCCGTGGCCCAGAAAAATTAATTTAATATCGTGTGGTCCCATGGACCCAAGCTGTTTCTGGAGTGCTCTTGAAAGCAAATTTGTGACTGCTCCCAAATGCATTCTGACATCTCCAATTTGGGAAGTGATGTGGGGATGACGCACTCCTGAAAATGGCCTTTTTTTCTCCAAGTCGGGAGTAGTGTGGGGAGGCCCTTTGTAAACCTCCGGCCTGCACGAGGGCAGTTTCGGGCCACCCCTGAAGGTGACCTTGAGTAGGCCCCAGGTGTCCCGAAAGCTGAGATGCAAATTCACATAGGACAAGCAACCTGGCAAGTACCCTCTCCCAAGCTCAAATGTTGAGAGCACCCGTTTGGAGAGGACTGTGGCGAAGCACACTCTCGAACGTGATTTCTCCACTTCGGAGAGTACTCCCAAGTTTTTTCTCGGGATTTGGGAGTGGTGTGGCGAGGCCCTGAATCAAAATTATGTGTTCAGATGCTTCTCTCAGGCTTCAAACACATTTTCTATTTGTGATGATTCCCATGTGTGCACTGACATAACACTGGGCCACGTAGTTTGTTTGTGACGATTACGATGTGTGCACCGACCAGACACTGGGCCCCGTAGTTTACTTTTTGGGGCAACGGCTCCAGGATCACACCTAGCGTTTCAAATAGGCAACTTCAGCAGTTCTCCATTGCTCTCCATTTCTTGTTTTCTTCTTTCCATTTTGTGGGGAAGAGCACATGCTGGACACAACAACCATGCCACTTAGTTCAGCCCGACTTCCCGACACAGTTCAGCCAATAAGCCCCCGATACCAGGTGCCAACCAAATCCGGTTCCCTCTCTGTTTGCTTCTTTCAAGAATAAAATTAAATTACGGGCCCAGTGCCCAGGGCGTTCATGTGACGTACCAACTTCTGTACGTGAACGATCTTCTGAAGCCCTGAGTTTTTGCTATTCCTACTCTTCGGATTTCTCTTGGGCTTTTTGGGTACCCCTTCCTTTTTGCTATCCCCTTGGTGCACAGAATCACAGACCAACCCGGCCCTCCCACGTCTAAGATAATGTTTCTTTTGGATTTCTTTGCAATTTCCTTTCCGCAATCCATGCATTTACATAGGAATATGTGCCTTAGTGAGCGCGCTAGGAATTTTGTACGGCAGTTGGGAACTCCATAAATTACAGTCCGTCTTCCTGCTGACGTGTCCTTTCTTGAGAGAAAATATTCCCGAAAATATTCCCGCACACACCCTTGAAAGATCTGTGAAGTCTTTAAAGGAAGGTAGATAGACGTGGGATTTTCGTGCACTAAATTTTGCGCTGATATTGCTTTTGATTTTTTCAATCTTGAAGTAGCTTTAGAACCAGAATGGATGAAACATTATTGTTTCGGTGCCTTTTTTTTTTCTGCCCCCGCGCCATGGATGCAAGCTTTCCCCGCTTTCTGCTAGGAATCATGCCATCTTCACCCTTCTCCTCTCTGCGCTTTCCCTCCACCCGTAACTGTTTTCCATCCCCTCTCCCTTTGCTCTTCGCCCCCACTCCTTCTTGTCTGAATCTTGGTCCCGCTCCGCAATACCCTTCGCACTCTCCTCCTTTTCGCCTTCATCCCCATACCAGAACTCCCTACCGATTCCCCCCCTTCAGGGTATTCGAAGTCGTCACGCGACGTCGTATAAGGAGGATACTCCTCGCACACTGGATTCTGATTGGCTATGAAGGAATTCACAGGGATTGATATGGCTTTCCCTGGGCGATTTACCCAAACTCTCTCCTCACCCACTCCTATCTCCACCGCATTCTTTCCCATTTTTTATTCCCTCTTTGCAACTATCAAAACCCGCAAGCGCGTCCAAAAAACTCTCTCTCAACCCATCTGCCAACTTCGGGGAAGTCGTGGCTAGGTAATGTGCAAGTAGCGAGTCAGAAAGTCCTGACGAGCCGATGCCAGTGTATGCAAGGGTATGCGTCGGGTGGGGGCGACAAATTGCGGGATCTGGGTAAGTCGGTGCAAAAGATGAGTTGGCGGGGTGAAGATCGTTGTGGTTTAGAGGTTGGTACGTGGCGACCGGGATCGTCGGTACTAGAATGAGAAAACTGTGTGTATACGAGTGATTGCATGACCGGTGCTTGTTGATTTTTAGAGCTAAGTTCACGGCAAATAATCGAGATCTTCTCTCCCCCCCCCGACCCCCTTCAAGATTGTCTATATGACCAAAGTTCTCTTCCTCTCTTCTCAATCCTCTTTTTCAGTCAAGCTACTCCTCCGTCATCCCGTGGACGGCAGTAGCGCCCCACTGGCCTAACACTGCGCAGCGATTGTCGTTGCACGGAGTGTTATCAGGAGAAGGGGTTCCACTACCGGACACGTGGTTAGGACGAACGACGAGCGACTAGGTTGAGACCATCCACATCGAATTTCGAACTCTAGCGAACGACATCGGGACTTAATTGAAAAAAAAGATCCCACATGTGTACCCCCACCCTTCTGTTCAACGAGACGACAAGTAGCTCGCAGGGAAGTGCAAACTTTAGGATTGTTTTTTTGGATTAAATAAACATTTAAAAGTAGCAGGCGCCATTTCTTTCCCTCGCGACCATGGTCCTTCCTCACTAAAACTGGAATCATACGGGGGCTTTCAGTTTTGTTGTGGCCCCACACTCAATATTCCCAAAAATCTTTGACACACCCCATTTTTTTGTCCTTCAGGGCCTATTCCGCATAAATTACCGCTCCGACTGATGGACAAGGCATGGCGTGAGGTTGGTATCGGAGCCGACATGTGTCGGTTCTGATAATAGTGAGGCGAGCTGACGAGAGAAAGAACAAAAGCTCGAACCACAAGTGGTTAACGTCCTCCTTAAATTTCAGAATGAACGATCATGAAATCTGCTAGGAGTGGTCTGAAATCACTGGAATGACCTGAAGACATTTCATGCCATTTCATAAGTTATAGGTGGTTTGGGGGTCAAATTTTATGTTTTTTTTTTTTTTTTTTTTTGCCTGTTTTTTTTTTTTTTTWTTCAACGTTGTTGTGGTCCACTTCAAGTCATTTTAGGAGTTTCAGGTGGGGAGGCCTGAAACCTCTGAAAAAAACTGAAGTGGTTAACGCTTCTGAAAGCGGTTTCAGATCCCCCCATCCAAATGGTTTGATTGATGCATCTCAAACCGCTTTCAGATTTTCAGCAACTTCATATTATTTCAGAAGTTTCAGATGGGGAGACCTGAAACCTCTGACAAGATCTGAAGTGGTTGAAGCTTCTGAAAGTGGTTTCAGCTCCCCCCATCAAAATGATTGAATTGGGGTATCTGAAACCGCTTTCAGATTTTCAGCCACTTCATATTATTTCATGAGTTTCAGATGGAGAGACATGAAACCTCTGAAATGATCTGAACTGGTTGAAGCTTCTGAAAGAGGTTTCATGCTCCCCCATCCAACCATTGGACATCTGAAACCGCTTTGAAATTTTCAGCCACTTCAGATCATTTCAGGACTTTCAGGTAGGAAGATTTAA